TATTTGCAGAAGACATGATTGGTTACTTAAAAAACCTAAATTATTAGAATGAGTAAGTGACTTTAGCAAAGTTGCTAGATAGATCAGTATACAAAATCAATATGTAAATAAATTTTATATTTTAGTAACAAACCTTAAGAAAATAAAATGTCAGAAATACCATTTATAATAGCTTAAAAATAACATTTAACAAAATGTACAAGATCTCTACATAGAAAACCATAAAATACTAAGAGAAATTAAAGATATAAAGGAATATGTAAAGTTCACAAATTAGAAGACGTTATTGTGAAGCTATCAATTTGCTCCACACCGAGTCAGTGCACTTGCTAACAAAAATCCCAATCTTCTTCTTGTTGTTGTTGATAGAAACTGACAAGCTGATTCCAAAATCTGTAACCACAAATGGCCAAGAATAGCCAAGAAACTCCTGAAGAAAAGTTGACAAGGTTCACTTTACAAAAGAGTAGAATACTTTATAATTTACAGTGTTTACTGTCTAAAAAATTAAGTAATTACTTCAGTTAGAGTAATTAAAACAGATACTGCCTCAAGGATACATAGGGAGTCTAGAATTAGAGTCACATATATGATTTATAACACAAGTAGCATTGAAGAGCAGCAGAGAAAGGATGGTCTTTTCAATTAACAGTGCCCACTATTGAAAATAAAATCTTGATACTCCATGTAAAATTAAATACCACATAATCTGTGTATCTAAAAATAAGGGCTAGAAAAAAATAAAGATTCTAGAAGATAATATAGGAGAGTATCTTCATGATCTTGCCGGGGAAGGGGGGCGGTTTAAAATAGGACAAAAAAAGCATGAATCAGAAAGGAAATGACTAGTAAACTGGTAAGTTCAAAAGATACCATTAAGAGACTGAGAAGGTAAGTTACACAGTGGGAGAAAAATATTTGTAAAACTTAAAACCAACAAGGAAGGACCAAACAAAAACCTGACAAAAGGGGGCGCCTGGGTGGCTCAGTCAGTTAAACATTCTATTCTCCATCCCAGCTCAGGTCTTGATCTCAGGGTTGTGAGTTCATGTTGGGCTCCATGCCAGGTATGGAGCCTACTTAAAAAACCAAAAACACACAAAAAACCCCCTGACAATAGAAAAATGAGCAAGAGTTAAATAGGCAATTCACAAAATTGAATATCCAAATGATTAATCACATGAAAGGGTGCCCGATTTCATAACCACCAAAGAAAGGCAAAATAAAACAATAATGAAATATTAATTATACCTACCCACCAGCATGGCTAAAATTAAGTAAACTGATAAGGCCAAGTGTGGGTAAGGATGTGAAGAAACTGAGGGCGCCTGAATGGCTCATTCGGTTAAGCGACTGCCTTCGGCTCAGGTCATGATCCCGGAGTCCCGGGATCGAGTCCCGCATCGGGCTCCCTGCTCAGCGGGGAGTCTGCTTCTCCCTCTGACCCTCCCCCCTCTCATGCTCTCTCTATCTCATTCTCTCTCTCAAATAAATAAATAAAATCTTTAAAAAAAAAAAAAAAGAAACTGAAACTATCACATATTTCTATTATAAATGTGAATTGGTTCAATAGCTTTGGAAACCTTTCTGAAATTATCTACTAAATTTGAGTATATACCTAAAATATGACCCAATAATTCCACTCCTCAGTATATGCCCAAATAGCAATATGTATGCAGCGTACTAATAGGCATTTACAAGAATTTTCACAGTTGCATTACAATGGAAACAACCTAAACAGGTTCCTAAAGTTAAATGGATAGGGGCTGCCTGGGTGGTTCAGTTAGTTAAGTGTCTCCCTTCCGCTCAGGTCATGATCTCGGGATTCTGGAATTGAGCCCCTGGTTGGGCTCCCTGCTCAGCAGGGAGTCTGCTTCTCCCTTTTCCTCTGCTCTTCCCCCCACTCATGCTCTCTCTCTCTTTCAAATAAATAAATAAATAAAATTAAAAAAAGAGAAATCCGGGCGCCTGGGTGGCTCAGTTGGTTAGGCGTCTGCCTTCGGCTCAGGTCATGATCCTGGAGTCCCGGGATCGAGTCCCGCATCGGGCTCCCTGCTCGGCAGGGAGCCTGCTTCTCCCTCTGACCCTCCCCCCTCTCATGTGCTTTCTCTCTCTCTCTCTCTCATTCTCTCTCTCAAATAAATAAATAAAATCTTTAAAAAAAAAAAGAGAGAAATCCTTTAACTCTTTATCATAAAGATGATTTTCCATATTTTCACCTAATTCTAGGTTAATAGCTTTTTCCTCAGTACAAAAATATATAAAATATTACTTCATTGTCCTGTGGTATCTATTTTCATCAAGAAGTCTACTTTGGGGGCAATATATTAGGTAATAATTATAATTTTAAAAGATCTGTATATACAATCCTTGAAGCAGGTTGAACAAAATATTATTATATTCATTATGTATAGGTCAAAAAGCTCAAGCCTAGGGAGTTAAATGATTCTACCCAAGCAAGGTAAGAGAATTATAAAATGTATAGTAATCATACATATATCTTCTGACTTCCACATTCAGCATGATTTCCACTATTCCATTATAATAGAAAAAGCACAGGATGTGGAATCAGAAAAGATATGGATACTCTTGAGCATTAAACTTAGAAAACCTTAGTTTCTTCCTCTATATAACAAAGATAAACATCACCTTTTTATGGAATAGTGAAGATTAGCAACAATGGATATATTGTCATTGTCCCACATTACATGCTTAGAAATATTGTTCTATGGGGCACCCAAGTGCCTTATTTGGTTAAGTGTCTGACTCTTAATTTCAGCTCAGGTCATGATCTCAAGGTAGTGAGATCGAGCCCTGTGTCAGGCCCCACACCCAGTGGAGCCTGCTTAAGGTTCTCTCTCTTCCCTCTGCCCCTCCCCTTGTGTGCTCTCTCCCCCTCGCTCAAAAAAAAAAAAAAATACTGTTCTATTATTTTATACACACCCACACCCACACATATACATACATACACACACTATTTAATAGTTTCTAAGGATAATTTTGGAGCATTTCAAGCGCATCGTATAACTTGATTTGTGAGTGGTAGATACATAATGAACCAAAAGGAGAAAAAAAAATACCCAACAATATTTTATAAGTTGTACCTTGCGAGGCTGGGAGGAGGGGAAGTTGGTTGGAAGGAGGGGAAGCTGGGAAGTATCTCTAACCCACAGATACTTTATATTTTTAGATTTTTTTAACTTTTAAATAATCTCTACACCCAATGTGGGGCTTGAACTCACAATTCTGAAATCAAGAGTTGCATGCTCTAAACTGAGCCAGACAGGTGCATTTTAAAACATATTCACCCCCACATAAAAAACCAAACCCATTCCCAAACCCAAAGAAAACACAACCATACAAAGTAAGTTTCTCATCAAACAACTGTAAAAGAAACCAAATATACTATCCTATTACATTAAAATGAATGGCTTCTAAGTGGGTAGGATTTACTGAGGATAAAGAGCACACAGAGCAATAATTACTTAGGACTTCAAAGAATAGATGAAGTAAGCCATATAGATGATGGCAGTTTTATCTGTTAAAGTGTACATTAAAAAAAACAAACAAACCACTTCGTATTGTTTTAGTCCTGAGTCTATTCTCTTTCAGTACTTTAAAAAGGATTTAAGTGATAAGCTTTTGTTTCGTCCTTTCCTAAAATGGATGTGGCTAGCAATTGCTTCAGAGTAGCTTACGTGAAGACTGTTGGTATGTTCCTCCTTTTGGAGGAACACTGCAATTGCGGTTAGTGGCCAAAAACTACAACAAAAAAGTTCCAGCATTCAGTATGAAACAGGAGGAGGGGGCTAGTGCACAACCAAGTACAAAAACCACTTTCTTTTTGAGTTAAGCACAGAGAGCAAATCAATTATCTTATTAATACTCTTCTACAATAAAGACAAAATATTGGTGAACCAAAATATGGAAAAAAAATTTTCAAGTGAATAACCTCTTTTTGATTAAGAAAAACATACTCTTAACAGCTGCTTCACACCAGGAATTATGCTGACTGCTATGAAAATACAGTTTCATTGGACACTGACCTTAAACTACTTACTGTCTAATGGGAAGATTGGATAGGTATAAAAAAGAACATTACAGTAGAAAGTAACAAGTTATAAGAGTGGTAAAAAAAAAAAAAAAAAAAAAAAACTGTGCAGGGGCACCTGGGTGGCTCAGTCGGTTGGGCATCTGACTCTTGGTTTCAGCTCAGATCACAACCTCAGGTTCCTGGGATTAAGCTTCGTGATGCTCCAGGCTCTGCACTCGGGGTAGTCGGCTTCTCTCCCTTTCTCCAACTGCCCCTCCCCCGCACATGCATGTGCTAGCGTGTGATCTCTCTAAAATAAATAAATCTTAAAAAAAAAAAAAAAAAGACCCTGTATTGAAAGACCAAAGGAAGAAAGTGACTTCATGGAAGGGCAACTTGAGATAGTGCAGATGGACTGAGACATATGGGATGAATTAAAAAGTATGGGATGAGGCATTCCATTGGGAGAGAGCAATATCACTAACAACTGGCAAGTAATCCTTCATATGAAGTATTTAACTGTACATGAACCCAAGACAAATCAAATCCGTAACCCCCCCCAAAAAAACCAGAAAACTGAAACAAAGTAAGAAAAATTGAAAAATTTTAAATGTCACTAAAATTTTAAGAAAATTTCAGTATGTTCACACCAATAGTTTAAAAGAAGCTCCTTAGAAAACCCTTCTATAGTTTTAGCTTATTACACTGTAAAATAAAATAAGTATTTCAAAAATAAAACAATTATGTTGACATCAAGCACAGCTAAACAATAAGAGGGAAATGAAAACATCTGATCTCACTAGTTTCACCCCACCATTTAACTCTGCAGTAGGAATGATGTTTTAATAGGAATGTTAACACAATAAGAGAACTGCAGAAAGTACAGAATGGAAGTATTTACAATTGATTAAAAGTATGTATTTACAATGGCATTAAAAAGGAGAGCAAATCCTCTTGTATAACTTACCAACATAAAATGAGCAGTTGGAATGCAATAAACTTTCAGTCCATAAGCGACAAAGTTCACTTTCAGTCAGAGCTTCAACTCCATAACAAGCTTGATATTCCACTTTTGGTAGTACATAAACTGGAAATTGCTGAAATGCACAGTTATACTTTTTCAAAGCTCCATTAATTTACTCTTAACAGAAAATACATTTGCCTATAGTTTTGTCACTTTGAAATATTATCAGGTAATCTTATTTTATCCTTTCAAATACAGCAGAATTCAGACAGAAAGATGGAAAGAACCCTTGTTAGATGTGGGCAAGAGGTAGACAGGTAAGAGATCCTGAACCAACAGCTCTCCCCACCTCCACCCAAAATTCACATACCTCCCTACATATGCACACATTTTATCAGGGAATGTAACTGACAGTAGCATCCTTGGAACAGAGCCTACGATACATAATTGCCCAAAGGTTCAAAGGGGGATGCTAGAAAGCAAAGACTGTTATACTAGTAATTCGCAGAGGATAAAAAAAGGTAAGAATTTTTTGTACTTTTAAAGCATGAGACACATGGTATCAGGCTCAAATACTCTGAACAGCTTTTTTTCATTCTAAGAATGAAGGTATAAGCATTAATATCTACATTAACACCTGTGAGTGTCTTTATCTTGATTAATACAAAGGCTTTGCTCCAAACACTAGTCAAGTAGCCAATCAGAGTTTATTGGTCAGGACACTAAATAAAGTAAAGTAACTGTGGCCATTACTAGTGTAAAGGGGTATATGCAAGGAAATACATGCTTGTGAAATAATGTTAGTCATGTTCACTGTGCTCATGTTATCTCATTTCTGTCAAAGAATATTCTACTCTTAATAGTAGTCTCTTCATTTCCAGCTGCAGAAGGAGAAATACATGATTTAAGAAATTTATTCAAAGTGATATAGCTAGTTTGTACTTCTGAAATTATATGAAGTTGCCATTATTCATATACTTGAAAATATTTCATAAATGTTTCAGAATTCCTGATTTTCATCAAGTGGCAAATTTAGTGGGCTTGGAACAATGATGGTGGTAAGAACAATCCAAATCCAGTAAAATTTCTGTTAACCATAAACTTGGTTCATATGGTTACCTGTGAATGGTGTAAAACTCTTTTAAAGCAGTATTTCTTCAATTTCAATGTGCGTATGAAAAACCTGGTGAATAACTTTGTTAAAATGCAGAATCTGAGGTGAAGAACAAGGTTTTGCTTTTTTTTTTTTAAATTGAAGTATAATTAACCTACAGTTTTATATGGGTTTTTTCTGTTTTTTGTTTTGTTTTGTTTTAAGATTTTATTATTTATTTGACAGAGAGAGACACAGCGAGAGAGGGAACACAAGCAGGGGGAGTGGGAGAGGGAGAAGCAGGCTTCCTGCCGAGCAGGGAGCCCAATGCAGGGCTCGATTCCAGGACCCTGGGATCAGGACCTGAGCCGAAGGCAGATGCTTAACGACTGAGCCACCCAGATGCCCCTTTATATTAGTTTCAAGAGTACAATACAATAATTCAACAATTCTATACAGTAGGTTTTTGCGTATTTGAGAAGCTGTTGTTCCAGGGGCCAAACCTTGAGTACAAGGCCTCTAACGGTGTCTTTTCAATTAAAAATAATTAAATTGTGATTAAGTAACTAATTTTACTGGTAAAGGCATTTTATTATATAATAATTCTTCAGCAATTGGTAATCTGCACTTAACAACTATAAGCTAGAGATAAAGAAATGGAGGTCAAGAGGGTTAAGAAATTTGCTCAGGGACAGAGCCAGTTTACAGCACAGTTGAATAACTGATAAACAAGATATCCTTTCTGGATCATAAGGAGATCTTCCTTGATAATACTGCCTTGTATCTATGAAACTAAGTCCTGAATCTGGTTTTAATTTCTGTATGTATTCTACTGCCACCTCCAGGAAGCCAAGGGAAAGAAAAGTCTGAATATTTTATGGTAGTATTCTAAAATTAAAGTGAAATTTTAAATTCAATCACAGTTTCAAACTATAAAAATTAAGTTTACTATTCCTTTCTCCCTTGAATGGTAACTCCTATTCTCCCTAACTGAAAGCTTTTCTTGGTTCTGTCTTCCAATTTTTCACATAAACCTTTTAAACTTTTCCATACATCCCTAGATAGATATTTCATAGCTAGTATCATAGTATAGTGAAGAGACTTCTAAGTATTTTAAAGCTTTATCTAAACAAGTTGGTTTTTAAGTAGTAAATATTAAGAGAATGCTTTCTTACCCAGAGTTTAAATAGTGCTACTTTAAAATTTCTCAAACTAATACTTAAATTATCCTAAAGTTCCCTTCCCTAATACCAGTTCCTCTCATTTACTTATTACCTGTTCATTTTGTTCCTAGAATATAAAACATTTGGGAGAAACAGATAAATAGGACATAATTCCAAAGGAAATGCATTCTACTAAGGGATTTAAACCAAGTGTACTAAACTATTACATGTAATAAAAGGTACAATATGATAACCATTCACTAAAAATTTTAAAATTTTACTCTGGGTTTGACATAATAAAAAACATAAGGCTCCTATTTAGATATTCATTGGGGTTCAGCTATTTTGATATATTTTGATGAAGAGCAAATTCTCTCCTATAAGGTTTCATCTCAACATTTACAAATTGCACTTTAGTGAACTGAATGACAATGTCCTTAACAGGTTGTCTGTTTCAAGAATTAATTCAGTATCTGATTATTTCCCTAAGCTATTCTTTCTTAAGAGATACTGGCCATCAATAGTTTCTAACTGCTGTGAGCTGGCAGATCAATACAAAGTGGTATGGGTTCAAAGGGTAGAAAGTGAAAGAAATGAGGTTAGCCCCCAAATAAATCAGAGATATAGCAAGTAAAAGTTAAAAAAATAAAACACTGAATATACAATACATAGCACTGACACTACATATATTCAAGATGTTCATGCAATGGCCATTAAATTGATCATCATTAAATATAAATGAGATGGGAAAAATTAGCAAATAAAGTAAAATCTTTTAATTCAGACAATATTAGCATTTATTTAGGATAGGAGCAGACTAATACAAAATCTTTGGTATTTTATTATTCCTTGACTTTCTCTTATAAAAAACACTACCCCATACATTTAATTCAAAACCATTTGCTTTCTAAAATTTAAAGTTTGAATCACAGATAAAAACCAAATTATGAGAACTAAGAATTTTACAATCTTCCTTCTATTTGACAAAGGATAACGACATCAAGCAAAAGATCCTCCAGGTCCACTGGATTCTGGTGAACAAAGATCCTAGATCCTGATGGGTTAGCTTTAGTTTTTTTCATGATAGACCCTGCTACTAGCCACTGAGGAAGGTTGGACAGCCCGCCCTGCCTCCTTTCCTTCCCTCCTTCTTTTCTTTCTTTTCCAAGTTATTCCTTAACATGACAAAGCAGTGTCAGGGACTTGATCCACAAGGGTTAATGCTGGAACATCACTACTTTTGAGCACCTGATTCCTAGCCCCAAACATACTAACATTCTAAAGTAGTCATTGAGGATTCTTACAGGTAGTAAGTTAGAGAGCAAAAGATAGAGACACCAAAATTAAAAAAATAATAATATAAAAATATAAATATAAACACACACACATACTGTGACAAATGTACACCACAGAAAAAATTCTCTTAAGTAAAAATGAAAAGAAAGACATCAGTATAATCAATTATAATATAGAGGCTCCTCTTTATTTACCAGAATTCAGTGGTCACACACAAAAATCAAACTAATCTGAATGAGAACTTCAAACATCAAATATGGAAAACTGTATAAAGAACCAATTACTCAAACTGTAGCAAGAACTTTTTAACTGAAAAATATTTTTATATCAATCCCCCCCCAAAAAACAACAGGGGAAAAAGAAAACATTTGGTCTTCTAACAATTCTGGGAAGACTTCAAATGCATGTGAAAGCCCACCTTTGAAAACTTGGGACTTCTAAAATGAGTCAAGAAGATCCCCAAAGTAAGAGAAAAAGGGGCTAATATGTCACAGTGGAATTCCAAATTTACAGAAAGTAGGAATATATGTGCCAGTCCAGGTCAAATCTATGATGGTGCCATTTTTCATTAAGTTTATAAATTCCATGTAAGAATGTTACCGGCATTCAAGAATTTTATATATAACACTTTCCACTTCCCTTTATTAAAAGTGTTTTCAGTATTTTACTAAAAAAAAACACAAAAAACAAATAAAAAGCCCCAGCTCAACCTGGAAAAATTCCAATAGTGATCAACAATTTTAAATTAAACTTCATAACAATGGCATGTTAAATATCTGCTGATTATCTACTTATACTACCACATCCTAACTCCCCAAGTAACAACTTACTCTTCTGATTTTCTTCCGTTTTTTAGAACGTGGTCTGGTCTCTATCCTCTGGACACTGCATCGCACAAGTAACAATAGGTCTTGTAGGCTAAATAACTTGTAAACAAAATTTCCTTCCTGAGGAGCTACATATTCTGATGTATCTTCAACATAGTCCTGTAGTTCATACGGCAATCCTTTAAAAATAATTTTATTTCTCATTATTTAAAAATACATTAGCTCTTTATCGATCATAATTCAAGAAAACAATTCAATTATCTATTTTTACGTTTCTATCAACTTTTTCTATTTTCTCTGAGTTGAACATCTAACTATTACCATTTCTGTTTACTTTTAACAGAACTGCAGCCAAGAGCTAAGGTTAAACCTTTAACTACCACCTTCACTAACCCTAGACAAAGTTTAAATTTATGAGACAACATATGAAGAAGAAAAAAAGTTTTAAAAAAGTGATGTTTTTTCTAATCTAGGCAGAGCTGGGGTACAGCTTTATATCTATCTCAGAAAGTGAAAAAGTATAAAACTACAGTCCAACACCATGAATTAGTAAATTTTGGACTCATAAATGTTTATGATTATTTTTGATCACTTCCCCTTCATCAGTTCTGTGAGCCGTATTAGCCACTGTACATGCTAGATAAACATAGGTTACAAAGATCCATACAACTTTGTGTACATATTTAAAGAGAAGATTTTGGAAGCTGATATACTGATCAGTACATTGAAAAATGAAGTATCAATGACCATGTAAATATTATAAGACCGGTCAGAACAAAGAAAAAGTGAGGGAATAAAGGAGAAAAACCTAAGGATAAGGAAGAGGCAAAATAGTTAATATAAAGGTCCTTATAAATATTTACTTACGTCCTTTTGGCTTCTGAAATGCAGAAGGCCATACAGATTTTGGCCAACCAGAGGCATCTGAAGGAGCAGAGGATTGCTCAGAAGCAGGAGGTTGTTTAGAATTTTCCAAATTCATTAAGGGCAATTCAGGTATTTTTCTGGAAATTGGCTTTAGGAGTTCATCCTGCATTTTTAAAATTTCTCCAACTGGATCAAATTTTTTATATACTCGTTTGATAGGTTTTTTTAAAACACATGACTCTTCAGGACTACAGGTAGCATTAGTCTGGTTTCCTACAGAAGCCTGTGCTGAAGAAGAATTGGGGCTAGCTGGTTTAGAACTTAAATTAGAATTCATATCAGTTGTCTTTCCATTACTATTATTTTGACACTCTGTATCAATGATTAAACAGTCTTCATCTGTATCACTATTGCAAAGAATTACATCTTCACTTCTTACTGCTTCTGAGGTAACAGTCTTTTCCTTTGAATTGTCTGAGTTCTCCAGAACATTTAGTTTTTCAGGGGCATATACCGTATCAGTAGCCAAATCATTTTTATGAGAGGTTTCAATTTCTGTAGAACTTTCTAACTGTAAGGAATCAGATGTTTTCAAGTCATTATCCTGCATCAAAAACTTGTCAGAATTTGATGCCTTTTCATCACATGGTACAAATCCCTGATCATCTTTATTTTTGCACTCTTCAGGGCCACCATCCATACCAGTCACCAGTTGTTTCTCCTTCTGCAACTGTTCCATCAGAATCTGAGATAAACTTCTAGAATGAGCAGAAATGTCTGGTGCGGTTGGTATCACAGATGTGGCTGCTGTGCTGGGAGCTGTGGGAATATCTGTTGTGTTGGGTACTGTGGAAGTGCTTGCAGGACTCGGTGACTTCGATGGTTTGGTGGTGTTTACTCCAAAAGTTTCAAGTTCTGTGACGTCACCATCAAAATCCAGGTCCAAATTTTCAAGGGTCTCAATTTTTCGGCACTCATTAACTTCATAAGACATCTTAAGAAAATATATTGGTAAACTATTAGCAGGTATTCCAGGACACCCGTCACCTATCTCTTAATGCCCCTACCCCTCACAAAGATAGTTCATGCTCTTTAAGAGCAGAAAGAAATGTCTAATGGCTTTGGAAGGTTCTTGCTTAAGATAATGATAAACTAGCAACTAATTTATTCGACCTTATCTTCCCATTGAAATGTGTTGTTGTTGTTTTTTTTTTGCGTTCAAGAGTTTAATGGATCATTGATTTGTTTTGTTTTGTTTTCAAATTATTTTTTAAAATTTAAATTCAGTTAATTGACATATATTATTAGTTTCAAGGTAGAGTTCAGTGATTCATCAGTTGTATATAACACCTGGTGCTCATTACATCACATGCCCTCCTTAATGCCCGTCACCCAGTTACCCCATCTCCTTCCCCCCCTCCCCTCCAGCCTTCCCACTGAAATGTTGATGAAACACAAGACAAATCTGCCATGTTGTAACAGCACAGGAAATAGGGAATACTTGTGAACCCGCATATCTCAAAAGGAATTTCCACTAATCAAAAAAATAGAACAACAAAGAACAAATGTGGGGCCAAATAGGAAGGCAGTAGATTTTCACTGATACCCACTCTATTACACTCTTGCAGAGACACCTGTATTTAGCTGACCAGGAGGAAAGCCTCTTTGCCACTGCGAAGAAGCTGCTCTCTAATGCAGCTCGGGAAGGTCACCAGCCTCTGATGTATCCCTAACATCAACAGTGATTTTCTACACCTACTCAGAGAAAACAACTCTTAGTAATATGGACAGGAAATGATTTTACTGTATTCTGGGACACGAAGCCATTGAGGTTGTAGTTTTTCATGTACTGTTTTGGTAATGGAAGAACTATAGACAGCTTTAATTTATTCAAGAATAAACGGTCCTCTCCCCAAGCAGCAATAGATCTCTCCTCAATCTAGCAAAGGAATTTGGATAAATACTATAAATATCTGGTTACAAACTATACACACCCACCAGCCGTACAGTTTAGGATGTGAGGGAGGAATATTCTAACAGCAATCACATAGTAAGAAAGAACAACCTATGTAAGTTATGCAACCTCTCCAAACCTCAATTTCTTCGTCTCTAAATAGTGGTAATAGGGTCATCGTCTTGGATTTGTTCTAAGGATTAAATGAGAACTTGTATATAGAAAGTTTCTTGGCATAGTCCTTGGCACATAGTAAAAAACTTCTCAGTAAATGGTAACTCTTATAAAGGTGACCACCAGATTTAGTAAAAAAATAAATAAATAAAAGTTAACCATATGCTGTTTACATGAGGCATTCTCACACAGAAAGGTTAAAAACAAAACAATGGGACATAAAGTCAAGAAATGGAAATAAGAGAGAGCAATATTAAGTGTTAGACAAAACAGAATTCAATGCAAAAAGCATCAAAGGAATCCTATACTGAAAAAAGATGAAATCCATGAATAGATAATAAATTGTGACATGCCAAATAACTTTAAAACATGTAGTCAAAATTGAGAAATAAAAGGAAAATTTGAAAGAAACACAATTGTACTTGGTCAACAGTACACTGTCTCTGAGTAAAATAGGGATATAGGAAGTACATATACTATTAAATGAAACCAATATATATGAATGACTGAAAACATATATATAGACTGCAAAGATATACCTTTTCCCTCCCAAGAATCCAAGGGGTATTTCCAAAGATGGACTATAAATTAACATATAAAGAAAATATCAATATAGCACAAAGCAGAATCTGCTAAGATCTTACTCTCTGTTTAGAAGGAAATAAAATTAGTAATCTTAAGAAAAAATATAAACAACAACAATAAATCCAAGCACCTGAACCTTAAAAAACCCTCCAAATTGTTGGATAAAAGAAGAAATTAAAAATAATTGCAGAATAGTTAAAAAGCAACAGAAAATAGAACACTAGACATTAAAGATCAGAAATATCATTCACAGCCTTTTCAAGAAATAAGAAAATACTAATACAATTATAATAATAAAATGAACAAATTTAATAATTATAAAACCAAAAATTAATGAATTAAAAAACAATGGTCTCATCTCGAACAAACAGATAAAATTTTAAATATCATTCATCTGTAAATACTTCAGTATGCAGCTGTAAAAGGATTCTTCTCTAAAACATCTCAGTTATATCAATAAAAATTAATAATTCCTTAATGTCATAACATATCTAATCAGTGTTAAAATTTCCAAGTCTGATAAATGTCTTTTTACAATTGTTTATTGGAATCAGGATCTAATCAAGATCCCCACACTGTATTTGGTTGACATATCTCTCAATTTGCTTTAATTTGTCAAATGCCTCTCCCCCATATTCTGTCAACTCCCATATCACCAGATATTTGTAGGAAAAAAACAAGTTAGTTATTCTGCATCTGTCTGATGTCATTTAACACATTCTTCTATTCCCTAAATTTCCTATTAAAACAATCTAGTAGCTTTATTAGATTCGGGTACAGTTTTTTTTTGTTTGTTTTTTAATCTGAATATGGTGGTACTGTGTACTTCCTACTTCAACCAGGAGGCTAATGATGTCTGGTTATCTTTCTTCTTGTGATATTACAATTGATCTGTTGGTTCATTAAGTGTCCTCAACTTAATCTATCCATTATGAAATTCCTCATTGATCTAATGATTTTAATAGCCACCACTGATGGTTACTGCTTAGAGTCACTATTTCATTAGGAGCTGCAAAATGGTGACAGTCATATTCTATCATTACCCTAAAATATAGTTTGTACTAGAAAGGCAAGACAAATATCTGGTATTTTTTCTTCTTATAAACAGGTTTTAGAATGACTTTATGTACTAGCACCCTCCAAAGGTGACTAGTACTTTTTTTTTTAAGTATCATTATTTCAGGGGTTTTAACATATTTCACATGTTTTAATCCATTGCAGTCATTCTTTGTCATGTCTAAATGACACATCTCTGGTCATTGGGAAACCCTCCAATTGGCTCTGGCATCTTTTTGATACTACTCTGTTATTATTATAGGGCTTTCATACTTAACTTCTTTCAAGATTTTATTTATCTGTCAGAGAGAGAGAGAGCACGCACGAGCAGGGGGGAGGGGCAGAAGAAGCAGGATCCCTGCTGAGCAAGGAGCCCGATGTGGGACTCAATCCCAGGACCCTGGGATCATGACCTGAGCCAAAGGCAGATGCTTAACCAAATGAGCCACCCAGGCACCCGAGCTTTTACTTAACTTCTTGATTGGCATTTATCTCTCTTCTATCTCTGAAATTCTGGGTTCCTACTATACACATAATTACTTGTTTATGTTATCGTATTATCTAATGTGTTGAAATAACAAAAGTAATATCATTTCTAACAATATAGTTGCTAAAGGCAGTTTAAGATTTTTTGGCAGTTCTTTTTGTACTTAGGATATAAATCTTTAGGGATGCATAGTCAAATTAGTAAGTCTCTAATCATTTAAAATAATTCACTGAGTGGTTAAACCACTAACTTGATATACAGTGAATTAATTGTTTCATTTCAGCTTAGGTTGGCTTTTATAACTTTTCAAAAATTTGTTTTATAGACATGTAAAACGTTTATATGACTCAAAAGTCAAAACTGTAAAACAAAATACATTTAGAGAAATCTAGTTGACATCTCTGCTTCCTCTACTTTGTTTCTTCCTTCCCCCACAGTTACACATTTTCATTAGTTTTAGGTTTATTCTTTATTATGTAGGGTTTTTATTCTTTTTAATATAAGCATATATAAGCAAATAAGTGTATGTGCGTAGTATATATTTGTACTTGCCCCTTCATAAAAAGTAGCATATTACAAAAAATGTTTTCTTCCTTGTCTTTTGTTTTGTATTATGATTTATTTACAAAAATATGGAACGTTTCATGAATTTGCGTGTCATCCTTGTGCAGGGTTCCAATTTTAGTATATGTGCTGCCGAAGTGAGCACCTTCCTTACCTTTTTCACTTAATAGTATATCTAGGTATCACTCCACAGCTGCCTATCTATACCTTCCTCATTCCTTTTAATACGTGCATGGTATGCTACTGAGGATGTACAGGTTATTTAATCAATACCCTATTAAGGGACATGTGGTTTGTTTCTAGTCTTTGGCTACTACAAACAGTGATGCCATAAATACCTTGCACATGCATTTTGCTTTTTTCCTAGTGTACTTTTTTTTCTGTTTTTTTTTTTTAATTTTTTTATTTTATTATTATTTTTTAAAGATTTTATTTATTTATTTAAGAGAGAGAGAATGAGAAAGAGAGCACATGAGAGGGGAGAGGGTCCGAGGGAGAAGCAGACTCCCTGCCGAGCAGGGAGCCCGATGCGGGACTCGATCCCCGTACTCCAGGATCATGACCTGAGCCGAAGGCAGTCGCTTAACCAACTGAGCCACCCAGGCGCCCTGTTTGTTTTTTTTAAAGAATTTATTCATCTGTCAGAGAGAGAGGGAGAGAGAGAAAGCGTGCATAAGCAGGGGGAGTGGCAGGCAGAGGGAGAAGCAGGCTCCCTGCTGAGCAAGGAGCCCAACTAGGAACTCAATCCCAGGACTCTGGGGTCATAACCTGAGCCGAAGACAGACAATTAACCAACTGAGCTGCCCAGGCATCCCAGTAAGATTTTAAGTAATCTCTACACCCAAAGCACGGTTCGAACTTACAACCCCAAGATCACGAGTCACATGTTCTACCATTAGAGCCAGTAAGGCACCCCTCCCTAGTGTACTTCTGAACTACATTTCTAGAATTGAGATTTCTAGGGCAATGGATGAACCCATTTCATGTTTTGTGGGTGTATCTCTCTTCACTTGACTATGGAAATGTTATAGCAATTATCTTTTTTTTCTCTAGTACTTTTATAAGAGCTTCCATCAACAATCCTCTTCTGTTTCTCGTCTTTAAATTAGATGGGTTCTCCTGCTCCTACGGGAGGACAATCCTGTGTAAGGGCATGCCAAGACAGCTTTCTGAACCTCATGGCTCTAAGTTCATGCTCCACTGTTACCACAAGGTATGTATTTATGTATGTAGGTAGGTAGGTAGGTATGTATGCATATAAATTTGTGTGTATGTGTATAAAATCTTAAGTATATTCTGATATCTGCTTTCTCTAGTCCCCTCTCCCTCAGTTATATGAAAACTTCTCTTTTCTTTACCTTTAATGTCCTTGTTTTGCTCAATATGAACTCTACTACTAGTCTGAGTGAAGACTTTTGTTTTGAAAGGGGCTTTGGTTGATTAGTTTCTAGAGTTTTGAGGGCTCAGGTCATCTCAGAACTCTTAATTTCCCGAGTGCCCCTGGACTCACCTACAAATTAGAGCCTATCCACATTATTTTCACTTGTTTTTCTTTATTCCTTCTTGCATCTGTACCATGCTCCTTCTGTCTGGCATTATTTTCCTTGTGCCTGAAGAACATCCAATAGAGGCAGTCTTCTGGAAGCAAACCCAGTTTTTATCTGAAAATATCTTTAATTTTTTATGTAAGGATATTTCACTGGTTAAAGAATTTTAGTATGGGGTCATTTTAGCACAATACATTGTTTCAGTGTCTTCTGGCTTCCATTGTTGCTGTTGACAAATTACTTGCCAGTCTAACTCTCAGTCCTATAATGGCAATGTGCCTTTTGTTTTTTCTGGTGGATTTTTTTTTTTTTCAGATTTACTTATTTATTTATTTTAGAGAGAGAAAGCAGGGAGGGGCAGAGGGAGAGGGGAAGAGAGAATCTCAAGCTGACTCCAAGCTGAGTGCAGAGCCCAATGCAGGGCTCAATCTCATGACCCTAAGATCACTACCTGAGCTGAAACCAAGAGCTGGACGCTTAACTGACTGTGCCACCTGGGCACCTGGTTTCTGGTGGCTTTTAAGAGTTTTTTATTTCCAACTATTGCTTTGGACTGATTATCTCTTTTACACTATTCTTCTGGATAAAACTACACCTATGTTAGATGTTCTCACTATATCCTCTATATCTCTTGCCCTATTCTCCCTATTTTCTGTCTTTTTGTTGTCTGTGTTTCATTATGGATAGTCTTTTCAGACTCATCTTCCAGTTTATCAATTCTCTTTTCATCTTTATCTAAGGTGCTAATAACCCCATTTACAAAATCCTTAACTTGCTATATTTTTCAGTTTAAAATTTTTTCTTTAGTTCTTTTTCAAATCTACTATCTCTTTTAAAGTTTCTAGTTCCTCATTGAAATTTTCAAGCATGGCTTTAACTTCCTTGAATGCTGTATAAATAAACAGAGTTGGCTAACAGTTTGTGACTGATAATTGCAGGATCTGTCTTCTGTGAGTCAATTTCTTTGGTCATTGTTTCTGATTATTCTTGCTCACATTATCTAGTTCAGTTACCCTTTTGCTTTTTGGATGCTTTATTTAAAAAGTTAACTGTAGAAATAATTGAAGGCTCAAAATGACATTATGTTCCTCTAAGAATTATTTTCATTAGTTCTTACTAGGTGTCTAGAGACACTAGAAATCCAAGTTCAAGGCCTGAAAACTCAGGCTACAATCTCTGAGAAAGTGGATTTATCTCTAGCTCACCCTTACTCCTGGGGTGCAGCCCTGTAGGGTTCAAGCGCTTGGTAGAAAACCAAACTTTGACTTTTGTCCCCCTAGTCTTGTGATGCTGCCAAAAGCATAGTTCGTTTTTTGCTGCCCCTTCAGAAATGGCAAATACCATTCAGGGCAAAAATGACTCTGAGTGAAAGACTTACCTCTCTGGATTCTGGTCTTCTCTAGTATCTCAGCCCTGTAATTCCTCACTATCTTGTTAGCTCTTTGATGATTCTAAGAAAGAAATTTTTATATTTTGTCCAGCTTTTTTAGCTGTAATCAGTAATGGCAAAGGTCCACATTACTTGGTCTGCCATTACAGAAAGATGTTACTGTCACTTTTTATCCCTTTTTACCTACTTCATGTTTCTTCATAGTGCTTATTACTTCCTGACATTTACCTCACACCAAGTATAAGATAGATTTAAAAATGTAAAAAGGGGCGCCTGGGTAGCTCAGTCGTTAAGCGTCTGCCTTCAGCTCAGGTCATGATCCCAGGGCCCTGGGATCGAGCCCCACATCAGGCTCCCTGCTCGGCGGGAAGCCTGCTTCTGCCTCTCCCACTCCCCCTGCTTGTGTTCCCTCTCTCGCTGTCTCTCTTCTCTCTGTCAAATAAATAAATAAAATCTTTAAAAAAAAGAAAAAAAGAAAAAAGAAAAATGTAAAAAAGAAAACTCAAACTTTGGAAGTGCTTTATGATGTTACACTATAAATATATTAAAGGCAAATGGCAGAGAAAAACAAACAATTATGAAACGCAAAACGTCAATATTCTTAAAATAGTATGAGCTCTTAGGTATAAATAAAATGAAAAAAAATGTTTTTCTATTTTCTAATTTTGTTTGCTTTTTCACTTTATTCAAGTCTCTGTTCATATTTCCTGTCCTTGGAAAAGCCTTCTTGATCATCAGTTTAAAATAGTCCCATTCCCATCTCTTTACCCTTATTTTTCTACTCTATTTTTCTGCATAGCATTTATCACTAGCTGCTTGTTCGCTATGGTTTTATTATCTCATCCTCTATCACTAATGTAAGCTGTGAGAGAAAAAGAGACTTTATTTTTATTCACTGCTGTATCCTCAGTGCATAGGATAGTATCTGCTCAATAAATATTTGTAAAATGAGTAAAATGAATGGATAAAGTTTTGTCTAAACACAAAATAATAAAAATAGTATTTATGGAGTGCCAAGCATTGTCCTAAATGCTTTACTTGTATTAACTCATATAATCCCAAATAATCCTGAGTTAGGTACTGTCATGAAACCCATTTTACAGATGAGCAAACCAGAGACAAAGAGAAATTATGAAGCTTGCCTAAGGTCACGCAGCTATTGAGTATACTGAAAAGGATTAACAATCTGGCCAAATACTTTCTGCACCAATCAAACTCATCTATTCCTTTTCATACTTAAAAACTCTTGAATATGAATGAGGCCAATTAAATAAAACCACTATCATGATTACCACCACCATTGACTAAGTTTTTACATATATACTAAAGACTGTACTCAGCATTTTACATATAATATCAAACTTAATCCTTACAACAGTCTTTTGAAATAGGTATTATCATCTTTCTTTTACAAAAGGAGATAACTGGGGCTGAGGGAGGTTAAATCAGTTGCTTAAAGTCTAGCTTGACTTGGGGTTCAATTTTAAGTTTTAATCTAAAGCCTTCATTTCTAACTACTAGATTTAAAGGCTTGCAATAAAACTTTATGCTTCAAAAAGAGAAAGAAGTACATTCCCTTAAAAAAAAAAAAAAAGCAAGCATTACATACTTCCATTTCAGACATATAATCTTCTGGTTTGTCCATAAATACTGCAGAGACTGGAACGGATGTGTTTTTGGACATCATGAATTTTAATGGAACTTCATGGAAGATTTGATTTCTCTCTCTCATTGTCATTTTCTTTTGGGGAAGTGGTGAATTAATATAAATTACTTTAACTGGTTTTGAACCTTAAAACAAAAACAGAAGAAAGAGGGTGATTAGTTTCTAGAAATTCTATTTCAAAACAAACAAACAAACAGGATGTAGGACAGAAAGATCACCAAAGAAATATAGCATAGGAAAGTATAGCACACCTCATGTATTTGCCACCCTTGAATTTGTGATCTTCAATGTCCCTTACAGATATAAGGGCAAGAGAATTTGACTGGCAAGAAAAATATGTTTTCTTTCTAATAAATTTAAAAAAAGGTTTTCTGCTTTTTATTTCATACAATTTTTTTTTTAAAGATTTTATTTATTTATTCATGAGAGACAGAGAGAGAGAGGCAGAGGCAGAGGGAGAAGCAGGCTCCCCGCAGAGCGGGGAGCCCGATGAGGGACTCGATTCCAGGACCCCGGGATCATGACCTGAGCTGAAGGCAGACGCTTAACCGACTGAGCCACCCAGGCGTCCCTATTTCATATAATTTTACTGTCATTATTACTCAGTTCTTATACAACTATGCTTTCAAAAAGTGATAAAACTCAACCACAGAGAATATACTATATTTAACTCTAATCTGTAGTTTTATTTCATTAGATACAGTTCTATATTTACTATAATTGTTGTATATAATAAAATGAATCTAGAAGGTATTAACTTACTGTCCAAAGAAAAACTATCCTATGCTTACAAGTATAGATCTATTTTAATTCTGAACTCCAATACCAGACAAGTAAATGTCTTGGAAACTCACTCATTTGAGGTTGTCTAATAAAGTATTACATTCTTTTCATTTCAATGAAAGACAGAGAACCTCATTATTTCATGTATTTTTGGCTACCCTAAACCATAACTATTTCTTTCTCACCGCCCCCAATATGAATACAAGTTTTATAGATCTAATTACTCATGTATGAGTATGAACTCTTTAGTAGTATTATATATTTAAAGTTCTACTAAATGTAAATGTAAAATTCACATCCTTCTTAAATCAAAACCTAAGATTTTTTTATTTGACAAATGACCACCTATGTTTAGACAGCTGAAATAGAATTGTTCCAACTCCTCTTTTCAAAGTATTACTTGTTATGGCAAATCACGAACCTGCAATGGGTATTACTTGAATACACACAGGAATTTCCCACTGTTCCTTGTAGTTTGGTCCATGATTATTTAATAATGTAAACAATGATTGACTGGTTAGAGCTATCTGAGGGTGATATCTTGAAACAAGCTTCTCTGCATTTGGATCTTTACTAATATCCTGAAAAACAACATAGAACTTGTTACTTCATTATATGTATTGGAAATTTCTTTGATGAAAAGAAGGGAGACATTCAAAAGGGGGACTTTATTTTTTTTTTTTAAGATTTTATTTATTTGAGAGAGAGAGAAAACGAGAGAGCATGAGCTGGGGGAGAGGTAGACTCCCTGCAGAACAGGGAGCCCAACGCGGGGCTGGATCCCAGCACCCTGAGATCATGACCCAAGCTGAAGGCAGACTGACTAAGCCACCCAGGCGCCCCAAGAAGGGGACTTTAGAACAGGAAGATCATATGTACTTTATGAGGTACAGCAAATTACTTGGGAAAATCCAAAGTACTTTCTTACTTACATAATGCATAGCTGCAGCTGTTTTTTCTGGTGTCTCAGTGGTAGATATGTTATCTTTTGAGAGCTGCAACTTCACAGGCATTGAGGGAAATACAGTTTTCACATATTTTACACTGCCCTAAGTAAGAAAAAAGGGAATGTCTTACTGCAAATACCACATGTATTTTTCCCCTAAGTATCTTTTCATCATATGAAACTCTTAACTTAAAATTCTCCACTCTACTTTAGAGCCTTCTTAAAGCCATGATTCCCATGATTTTGCTTGACAATCTACATATATGTTTTTTTCAAAAACAGTCCAAGACAAGGGTGCCATGCCATTTTCTTTACCACTTTACATTCTAACCTCTCATTTTATGAGGTACACATATAACAGAAACTCTAAAATATCCTCTCTACACACACTTACTTCCAATGATTGTGAGTACAATCATTTAAAAGAAAAAAGGTTCTCTGCTTGTATTTTGGAACATTAAGAAAGATGAGAAATGAAGAAAAGAAAACCAAGAAATAAAGTTAGTAGTGACATTTAAAAAAAAAATCAAGCATTGGTATCCATAAAATAAAAAAAGACACATTTGCATTGCATATTTTAAAAGTTACATCTCATTACTGTTCAAAACCTAAACATAAATATTGTCTATGTGAAATATAGGTGATGTTTCAGAGAAAAGTAAGTTTATACCTTCATTGGTAAGCCTTACCAATGCGAGAAGAGTTTTTTCTAACTTTAATCCCATCTCTATTCTGAATGGGAAGAATCCCATTAAGCTCGTGACTTCATGAAGAGTATAGAACTCTGGATACTTTTTCACTTGTTCAATACAAGTTCTTAAAATTTGCTAGGAAATAAAAATTAAGAGAAATTCATTTGTATCATAATTCCATAATAATACAACAAAAATAATTTAGTTATATGTGACTATATAATTATTCATTATAAATATTAGTCTCGTTTCATTAATCAAACTTCTAATAATCCAAGCATAATGCATATTCCTTAAGTTAATCTCTTATTTTCATAGTAATTCTTTTTTTTTTTTTAAAGATTTTATTTATTTATTTGAGAGAGAGAGAGAGCACATGAGAGGGGGGGAGGGTCAGAGGGAGAAGCAGACTCCCTGCTGAGCAGGGAGCCCGATGCGGGACTCGATCCCGGGACTCCAGGATCATGACCTGAGCTGAAGGCAGTCGCTTAACCAACTGACCCACCCAGGCGCCCCATAGTAATTCTTTTTAACCTAATTTCTTAAAAGATTGATATTTAATACTAAAATTAGCAATAGTATTAAAATTTAAAATTAAATAGAAAAGATGCATCATATTTTCTGTGCTATTTAAGAAACTGTCAAGGAAATAAAGCCACATGAAAATTTCAACACATTTCCTTGCAATAAAGTTACATGACTAATTAGAAATAAATAAGTTTAATACACTAAAAAGATTCCAAAGCACAATGAATTAACATAGTAGTTATCTTACAAATCACTCTAATCTACAACCTAAAAAATAAGTAACAATGTTAAAACTAATTAAATGATGGAGTATTTAGTATTTGCTTCTCTCCAAACTTTTCAAAACACTAATAACTTACCAGGAAATCTAATCAAGAAGGAAATAAGATACACAGCTTTACTCAAGCAGAATATATGACATTGTGATAACATGTAAATAACTCAAAGATGCACAGTGGTTTTGGGTGGGAGTGGGGTTATAATTAAAAAACGTATGTATATCATCTTCTAAGAAACGTATTTTTTCTTCTCCTGTCAATGAATCTAATCTGAAGCTTTTAGAATTTACTTTATATCACAAAAGTAAATTAGCAATAAGCATATCTTTGTAATCTTTATATTCTCTTTCCCTCATTTATAAAATTTGTCGTTACAAATTAATAACTTTACTCCAGTTTCTTTTCATCTAATTTCATATCCTCTTCTCCCCTTCCTAAATCCTCACTTCCTGCTGTCTTTCACATTTTTCCCCCTCTATCCATTCTTTTCAATGCTAACTTTGGTATTTTATTCAAATATTACTTGCAACTAAGGCAGATGTAGGTTAACATGGAAATGTTTTGTTTGTTTTTAAAAATCCCAGTCAACTGCAGTCAGATCTGCGTAGTATCTTTGCTCATTTATATTAGTTAACTTCTACCCCTAACATTCCCATCCTATAGCAGTCATTACAAGAACTTAAACATACACGCAAAAGAAAGCAATATATAAGAACTATATGACATACAGACTATTCTAGTTAGATATTTGCTCACACATCTTTCTTGGTAAAACTCTGTTGGATGTTAGTGTTTCTTAGTTTCACTTAATTCAGTAATTAGGGAAAGAGAAAGTCACAGGAAAATCTAACATAGTTTTACTCTTATATTCAGATACATTACTATATATTATTAGAGATATTTCATAACTGGTAGGTATTAAGCAACTAAAGGATCATTATTTGATATATTTAAAAGGTTTTTAACTAATAATTTGTCTTTGAAAAACAGCTATGAAGGTTAAGAGATTCTGGCTGTTTCCCATCACCCAACCACTGAATGTTATTTAATATTCAAAATATCTTGAAAACTAAACACACCAAAAGCACATGCATGTACTTAATACAGCTCTATCATTACAAAAAAAAGTGAAAATGACTCTGCTCCCTAGATTTTATTTTGGGCCAGAGGGGACAAATACGGTATCATTCATGTTTGAAACGTAAAAACACAATGGACACTACTTCTAGCAGTATAGCAGAGTAGGTATACTTTGAAGAGAGAGCACTTCTATCCAAATCCCACTAGATATTGGATAAATTACAACTAACCATTTTCATGCATTACTGGGCTTGGTAAAAAGTAAAAAGAATCTCAAGGACCGTAAGTAAATAAATAAACCTCAGACACCTAGAGTGAGAAGAAACAGGAGCAGTGGTAGAAAACCCATAAAAGATTAAGTATCTTGAGGTCAAATGCCTCCACCAGTGGGAAGATCAGGTAAGGAGCTGAACATGAGACTTACATTTAAGACTCACAAAACAGAGATCTGAACTGATATTTGTACACCCGTGTTCAAAGCAGCATTATTCACAACTGCCAAAAGGTAGAAGTAACCAGAGTGTCCATCAATGGATGAATGGATAAGCAAAATGTCCAAATACATACAACGGAATATGTATTCAGCCTTAAAAAGGAAGGAAATTTAGAAACATGCTAGAACATGGGTGAATCTTGACGACATTACACTAAGTAAAATAAGTCACAAAAAGACAAATACCATAAATTCCACTTATATGGGGTTACCTAGAGCAGATTAAATTCAGAGACAGAAAGCAGAATGGTGGTTGCTACAAACTGGGAAGGATGGGAATTGAGAGTTATTGTTTAATGGATAAAATAAGAAATATGTATTTGGTCTTTGTCCTTGGTTCCTAACACAGGGCACTAATACCCTAGGAATTTCCTGAATGACAAAGAATGAATGTCTTTTGTATGCTAATTAGATGACTCATGGCCCCTAGATAACTTCAGGATGGGGGATGGTTGCCAGAAAGACCAGGGCATGATTAAGAGGGCTGGAGATTGATTTAATCACCAACAGCCAATAATTTAATCAACCATGCCTAGGAAACAAAGCCTCCATAAAAACCCCTAAACTATGGGGTTCAGAGAGCTCCAAGGTTGATGAACACATAGGTGCTGGGAGGGTGGTATGCCTGGAGAGGGCACAGAAGCTCTGTGCCCCTTCCCCCATTTCTTGCCCTATGCATCTCTCTCTTCCATTTGGCTGTTCCTGAGTTGTATCCTTTATAATAAACTAGAAATAGTAAGTAAAGTGTTCTCCTGAGTTCTGTAGCAAATTACTGAACCAGAGGAGAAGGTCATGGGAACTCTAGGCCTACTGTCCAGAGAGTTGGAGAACTTGTTTTGGTGGATAGTGGTGAGAATAGCTGCCTTCCAGAGAGTTGGAGAACTGGTTGGTGTGGGGAAAAAAACAAAACAAAACACGTATTTGGTATCAAAAATGTTGTTAGCAGAAACAGTTCAGAAATGGGTAGAGAGTCTCAGTTTTGCAAGGTGAAAAGAATTCTGGAGACTTGGCTATATAACAATATGAATGTACTTAATATTACTGAACTGCACACTTAAAGATAATGACAATAGTAAACTTTAAGTTATGTATATTTTACCACAATTAAAAATAAATTCTAAAAAAGGGAAAGAAATTCTAACACATCCTACAACACAGCTGAACCTTGAAGAATACAATACGCTAAGGGAAATAAAAATCACAAAAGGACAAATACTCCACTTAAGTGAGGTACCTAGAAAAGTCAAATTCATAGAGCTAGAAAGTAGAACGGTGGTTGCCAGGGACTGGGGAGAAGAGGGAATGATGAGTTATTATTTAATGGGTACAGAGTTTCAGCTTGGAAAGATGAGAAAGTTCTAGAGGTGGATGGTAGAATTATATTTACAACAGTATAAAAAGTATTTTATGCCATTCAACTGTCCTTAAAAATTTATGTTACGTATATTTTACCACAGTTAAAAGGGGGAGAGAGGGAGACGGGGCAGGGGATGGAATGGAAGATAGACTGAGGCCTAACCTAGGGAATATGAGAATCCCAGAAAGATAGAGTTGAGAAAATGATGGAGAAGCAATAATAGAAAATGGCTGAGAATTTTCCAGAACTGATAAAGGATAGGAATTTACAGATACAAGAAACATAATGAACCAAGTATGATTTAAACACACACACACACTGTAGTCAAACTGTAAAATACCAAAAATAAAGATCAGTCAGAGAGAAAAGACAGATTCCCTAAAAGAAAGGACAGATGACACACTTTTCTTTTTTTTTTTTTTTTAAGATTTTTTATTTATTTGACAGAGAGAGAGACAGCGAGAGCAGGAACACAAGCAGGGGGAGTGGGAGAGGGAGAAGCAGGCCTCCCGCCGAGCAGGGAGCCCGATGTGGGACTCGATCCCAGAACCCTGGTATCATGACCTGAGCTGAAGGCAGACGCTTAACGACTGAGCCACCCAGGCGCCCCCAGATGACACACTTTTCAAAAACAGGAGCCAGAAAAAGTAGAATTATATCTTCAGACTGAGAAACAAAACAGTCAACTTAGAATTATGTATGAAGTAAAACTATCATATAAGAAGGAGAACGAAACAAAAATATTTTCAGATAAACCGAAAGATTGTTCATCACCCAGAGACGGTCATCAAAGGAACATCTAGAACACAAAGCATTTCAGGAACAATGAGGAGGATCTCAGAATGTATATTTGAGAAGAAGAAATGGAAAGCCAAAAATCGTCAGAATTTGTAGATAAATTAAAACATTGTTCATATAAAATAATAACATAGGTTTTAGAGACAGCATTAAACAACATCAGTCAAAATGCTCTATGGTCTCTGTAGATATATAGACTAATAGATAGAAACAGAATAGAACCAGGAAACTGACCCACACATCACTAATGACAAGGCAATTCAGTGAGGGAAAAAAATCACTGTAAAAATTCAAGGGTAACCATTAGGAGAACAGAAAAACAAAGAATAAATTCCAAATCAGTAAGGAGAGGAAAAGAAGGAGAAATAAAGTCAATGCCCTCAAAAGAAGTAAAATTAGAAAGAACTTTAGAAAAAGACAAATGAAATCACAAACAAGTTTATGTATGTCAATTATCATAATGAATGTAAATAACTACTCTTTCTAGTTAAAAGACAAGAGATGTCAGATTTTATTTAAAAAGAAAAGGAAGAAAGGCAATACAGCTAAACACTATTTTAAAAGATATCTGTAAAATACAAGTTCTACAGATGCAAAGAAA